CCTTTTTCTCCCCAAAGTCCCCCGGTACATAGTTGTATATTCTTCATTGTGGGTCCTTCTAGTTGTGGCATGTGGGACGCTGCATCAGTGTGGTTTGATGAGCAGTGTCATGTCCGCGCCCAGGATTCAAATGAACGAAACACTGGGCCACCTGCAGCGGAGTGCGCGAACTTAACCGCTCGGCCACGGGGCCAGCCCTACACCTTTGTTCTTTAATCTTCCTCATGTCCTTTTGGGAAGTAGACAAGATATAAGCCAACAAGGGTCAAGTTGAGGGGCTGGGGGAGCCATGGAGGCAGAGTCTTGAAGGGCCATTGCGGGTGGCACTGGCCAGCAGGGCTGACAGCTGTCCTTCTCTGCTGGGTGAGGCACTTTGAGGGGCGGACACTGACTGGGACTTCCAGAGCCTGTGTCATGGTGGCCAGGCAGGGTTGGGGAGATGAGAACATCATGGAAAGAAAGCAGTAACGTGGTGGGAGGGTGGGTAGGGCTCGGGGCTCAGAGGACACAGGCTTCCCTCAGGCTCCATGTGTGAGAGCTTGGACAAGTTCTTCGACCTCTCTGAATTGCCCATTTTGTCATCTGTAAACGGGACAAAACAGTCAACTGTGCCGGCTTGTCACAAGGATTCAACAGGATCCTTAATATTAGAGCCTCACACAGAGCCTGGCGTATAGAAAGGACTCAGTGTGTCTTTGCCAGGTTGAACTGACTTGATGTTAGGGTCTTAGTAATGATGGGAAACAGATCATATGAGTATTTATTTTTTTAAATGTTGGCACCTGAGCTAACATCTGTTGCCAATCTTTTGGGTTTTTTCTTCTTCTTCTCCCCAAAGCTCCCCAGTTCTTAGTTGTATATTGTAGTTGTAGGGCCTTCTATCTCTGCTATGTGGGACTCCACCTCAGCATGGCTTGATGCGCGGTGTCATGCCACGCCCAGGATCCAAACTGGTGAGACCCTGGGCTGCCAAAGCGGAGTGTACCAACTTAACCACTCGGCCACGGGGCCACCCCTCATACGAGTATCTTTTAAAAGAGAGAGAGTATGGATCCAGTACACACCACATGGTGGGCCTTCAAAAAATAATCGACGGATGAATGACAGAACGGAACTTTGAAGCCAGACAGCTCCAGCTTCGTCACTTTGTGATCTTGGACGATGCGTTTTCATCCCTATACCTCGGCTTTCTTCTCTGCAAAATGGGTTTAATGAATAAGGATATTTACCTGGCGTTCACAGATGAGGAAACTGAGGCACGGGTGGCTAAATAGTTTGTTCACGGTCTCCCAGCTGGTACAAGGAGAGATTAGGGCGCCCACCTGCACGCTTATTGTGAGGATGAAATGAGACAAGGAATGTAAAGTTTCTGACTCAATAAATGTTCGTTCCTTTCCAGAAGCAGGATGGTCTTGGCCAGGAAAACTGAGCACAGGGGGTCTGCAGCCACCCTGGGAGTGGGACTGCCTGGGAGGCAGCTGCCCGCCGCTGTGAGCTGCTGGCCCTGGCGCTTGGGAGGAGCTCTCCAAGTGGGTTGTGGGGACCACCCTTCCCAGGGGTCGTTTCCCAAGCAACTGTCTCGCCTCCACAGAGTCCAGTCTGTGCTGGGGACAAATAGAGAATTGGCCTTTTCCCAGCAGCTCTTTGGCGGAGAGAGTGGAGCCCAGGCTGCCCTAACAAGCCATATCTGGTAGGTGGGTCCAAAGCCCACAGGAGAGAGGTGTGGTGGAGGCAGCACTGAGCACAGGATGAGCTAACCATGGACCAGCTCCATCACGGGGAGCTGCTCTTGGCCTAGTTAGGCTCGTTATCATGGTCACTGTTGATGGGGCCAGGTACAGGAGGCTCTCCCTCCTCCATGTGACGTTTAATCCACCCCACATCCTTCAAGGTATGTGTAGGTGTCCCCATTTTACAGATAAGGAAACTGAGGCAGGTACGGGGAGGTAAGTACACAACTAGTAGCGACATGACAGGGTGAGGACTTGAAGTTTCTGACTCTGGAGCCCTGTTCTTAACCATTAGGCGTATTTGCTGCCCTTCCCTGGACAGAAAACCTCTTGGCGAAGCAGGAAGGACTTTGAGTTCTAGAACAACCGATCTCATTCCTCCTGGATTTGGCTGTGACCCAGGAGCTGGGGGACCCTTGATTCCCTGGGGCCAGACTTGCTCCTCCATGCTTAAAGCATAACTATTGACCTCTTTCCAGGGAGTATTTCATCCATTCAAGACATGTTTATTAGGGATCTTCCACGTGCCAGGCCCTCTTCTAGGTGCGGAGGGTGCATCACGGGTAATAATCATTACAATTAACCCTTCCTATGCACCAGGTGCTATTCTAGACACTGCACATGGATTAGCTCATTTAATCTTCACAACAACCCCAAAGACAGTTATTGTTATCCTTTCTTTATAGATGAAGAAATCAAGACACAGAGAGGTTAAGTAACTTGTCCAAGGTCCCACAGCTAATGAATATCAGAACCAGGATTTGAACCCAGGCAGTCTGAGGTCAGCATCCATACACTTGACTGCCCCCACACTGTTGGGGGGCAGAGCATAGTCCTGCACTCATGGAACTTTTAATTCTTTTTCAACAGGAACGTTAAAATGTTAAAATAGTACCAAATAGCACCGAAATAATTTAATTCAGTTTTGTTTGCTGAAAAGCAGACTGGGCAGTAAGAATGAATGATCCTGGATTTGTAAAGTGTTTGACATCACAGGGCCAGTGGAAAGGAGTCAAGGTCTTGAGCAAGACCTTGGTCTACTTTCCACCGTGGCCTTGACTGCTGTGTGCCGTTTGGCAAGTCTTGTCACCTCTCTGAGCCTCCATTTCTTTATTTACAAAATGGATTGTCAGTACCTATTCTACCTGCCTCCAAGCATTTTTGTGAAGACTAAATGATGTGGCAGATGGAAATGAGATTTCAAGATAGAAAAAAAAGCAGTGGGCAAGGGTCTGTTATTGAACCAAAGTGAAAATTTGGTCAGTTTGATGAATGAATGAATGAATGAATGAATGGTCCTAGCAGCCTGCGCATTGGCTCCCGGAGTAACAAATGGCTCCCTTAGGGAGATCTGTTGGGGTTTTTCAGGATCCCATCAGGGCTCTATCCTTGGCCGTGTCCCATGCTCCTGTCCCTTGAGTTATTTTGCATCTGATTTCATGTGAGCTTCCAAGACTGCTTTAGCAAACATTTGTTAACTGTCTGTCGAGAGGTAGGCCTTGTGTTAGACTCCGTGGGGAGACGGGAATGAATTGGAATGATGTCTGCCCTCAGGGGCTCAGGCTCATAGGCTAGAAGGAGAAATGATGATGATGATGATGATGATGGTGGTGACGATAATAATACCAACAACAACAATGACCAGCAAATATTGAACATTTATCACATGCCAGATATTGTGTTGAGTTTTTATATACATTATTTTCTTTAATCATTACAACTGTTCCACGAATTACTAAAACTATTGTCCCATTTCACATATGAGGAAACAGATTCAGACAGGTTAAGTAACTGACCCAAGTTCACACAACTCTGAAGTTACAGAGCTGGGCGTGAACCTGAGAAAATGTGGATGCAAATAACCATGCTATAAGGTAGAGACCACTGTGCATCCTACTAGAGGGGCAAGGACGGGCCTCTTACAGTTCAGAACGAGAGAGGAAGCAGGACAATGGGGGTGGTGGTGATGATGGTGATGGTGATGCTGCTGCTGTTGATGGTGACAATGGTGATATTGATGATGATGAGGGTGGTTGTGATGATGGAAGTTACGGTGATGAGGATGATGGCAATGATGATGGTAATCTTCTGGTGCCCATTCGTTGAACTCCTGCTTTACGCCAGGCCCTGACCCAGGTGCTTTCTACTATCTCGTCTCGTCCCCATAAAAACTCTCCAATGTTAGGACCATCATCTCTGTTCTACTCATGGGGACTCTGAGCTGGAGAAAGGCTGAGTGGCCTCCTCCCCAAGGCACACATCCGGTCTGAGGGGCTTGAGCTTAAGCATCCTCCCCGCAGAGCCAGCATTCTTCCCTGTACCGGGGTTCCCAACCTGCAGGCCATGGAGCCAGGCATCTCGGAGATGCTCCATAAACGTCTATTGAACAAATATTGAATGAATGGATCCTCAAAGGGTCAAAGCCTGAAGCCCAGAAGACATAAATAACATCTCGAATGAGTAACCATTGTTTAAGTGTATGTGGTGGTGCTGTGATTACGAAAATACAAGTTAATTGTAAAGCATTATATTCATTGTAGCTTTTGTATTGTTGTTTATCTTCCCAATGAAAAGATACTAAGTTACCATCAGGAGGAGTTTTGGGAAATATTTTCACATAAAAAGGGGTCCTTGTGCTGAAAACAGTGGGAAGCATCATGCCATCCTGCATGGCATGTGTAAAGTGCTTTGGCCAGTGTCTGGCACAGAGAACCACTCGGAGGAGGAAACCCACCAGACTGGGGATTGGGAGCCTATGTCGTTCGTCCTGGGTTTACAAGTGACTTTCTTACTACACCTGAGCTGTCACTGTCAGTGACTTTGTCTCCGTGAGACCTGACACCAGCATCTAATAGCTTTCCCAAATAGCTATCGAAAGCTGGCATGAATGAATGAATAATGAAAGCAAGAATGAGTGAATCATGATGAACGATGCTCAGGGAGCCCATGAGGGGATGTTTTCCGCAAAGAGTGCTTGAAAGTGAGTTTCTCAGCCTGAGAGCAGAAATAGAACGGAGAGGGGTCAGCAGGGGCCGGTGGCTTCGGACTTTCAGCTCTGTGAGTGGGGTTATGAAGCTGCGGTTGCCTCCCCAGGGGAGCCTGATCCTGACCCTCTGATGACCACGTGGAGAAGGGGTGGTGGCTGGAGCTTGGCTGTGAGGCCACTGTCAGCAAGGCCGTGCTCACCGTTTTTGGCTGCATTTTTCAAACACAAGTGAAAGTTGACAGATGGCAGTGGTGTAATATTCTCACTTTCTCTGCTTCCCACAGGCCTCCCTCCAACACAGGCCTCCAAGCTCTTAGAAATCTCTGACACATCTTGACCATGAGACCACGGCTAGCTTTTGGCAGGTAAGTGCTCCCCCCTCCCCATCTTAGGACACCCTAGCAGAGGACACAGGGCCATTTTGGCATAGCCCAAAGCCCTGGGCCGTGTTTGTGGCAAAAGGTGGGTAGGAATGATTTCAGCCTTGGCAGGAGGATGGAGCCGCACACTGTACTGAGACTTAAGGAAAAAGCTGCCAAATGTCCAGAGTCCTGCAGCTGGCATTTCTGCAAATAGCAGCCTATGGCAAGGGGACCACGTCTTGGGATGGAAGCCAGGAGCTGCTTCTGACCCCAGGTGTGCCTGTACTGCTCCAGAAAATCTCAAGCAAGAACATCCGTTTCTGGATCTCTGTTTCCCTGTCTGAAAAGTGAGGGAATGGGACTCGGTGAACGGGGCAGGCCACAAGCCAGCTGTTCTAGGCTCCTGCCAAGGCCATGGGATTGGGGGAGGGGCAGTGGCGACTGCCACCTCCCTAGGGCTCCTGTTTGGTTGTTCTGTGGACCTGACATCCACAGGGACCTGTGTAGGCTGGATGTGTGCTGTGTGTATGCATGTATGCATGTGGGGGCAGGACTCGTGTCCCCTCTGCAAACCCTGACATGGACAGTCACCAGTCCCATGGCTGCCTCTCATGCCTGGGCAGCACACCACAGTCACTATAGGCTGCAGAGCTCAGCCAGGAAGGGAAAGGCTGCCCATGCAATGAGAGCACAGGCAGGCCCTCAGCAGAATGTGGGTGTGAAGACCAGGTTGGACGGGAGACAACACAGGATGGGAGACCAGGTTAACGGAACATGAAGCCCTCTGAGCGGGAGTGAGTGCAGGACCAAAGCTCACAGACAGATCTGCAGGGCAGGCCGGGAGAGCTGCCTAGGAGATGGGGCCTAGAGGGCCCTGAGACACAGAGAGGAATAAAGCTCGTCATGGCCCTCAAGAAGCTTCCCAGCCATAGGAGGAGATGCTGTGCAAAGAGCCACAGTACAGGAAACCTGTGAAGGCAAGAGGGGTCCATTCTGTCTGGGTTTGGTTGTGGGGGTGTTTCAGGGAAGACCGTTTGAAGGTGACACTTGAACTGGGTTTTGAAGGATGAATAGAAGTTCTCCATGTCAAAAATGGAAGAAGGGCATTCTAGGCTGAGGAGACAACAAGTACAAAGGTAGGGTGGCAGGGATGTAGGCACAGAGGAGGAGCAGAGGGGGAGTGAGGCTGGGAGTAGTGGGCAGGCCTTTGAATGCCATGCAGAGGAACTTGGGTTGGGCCCTATATGATCAAGGAAGGGAGATAGTCAGCTCTGCGGTGCCAAGAGGGTCCTCTGGGCCCCGGGGGAGAGGCTGAGCACTGAGAGGAGGTGCTCACGTTAGAAGCTACTGGAACTAAACAAGGGCAGGCCCAGGGCAGAATGCCCTTTGCTGAAGTGTCTGTGACTCCACTGTGGCCCTTCGGGCCTCCCAACGCAGAGTGCCCACTGACGCTCTGAGGTCCCCATCCTGTGCTGGGGGCCTCTGGGGTAGAGGGCTGCCGGGCCTGCCTCGGCACCCCATCTTCTGGCCCCGCCCACCTTCCCTCCTCTCCTGTCCCTGAACAAGAGGCCACCCTCCAGGGCAGCACTCCTGCCAGGATTCGATGCTGTCATTAGGCCCTTTTCAGCCTCTTTTCTCCACTAAATAATAATAAGGCAGGTGCTTCCCTCAGGCCATTTTCTGTGTGGTGGCTAATACTTCGCAACTGTGTACTTTTACAGTTTCCTCTCTTGGCAGAACTCAAAACGCTTTCACACCTGTCATCTCATGGGAGAGCAGAAGGAGTGGGCGCTGGGGCCGAGGGCGCTGGATGGCAGCGCCGCCCTGTCGCTCCCCTGGGGAGCAGTGTGACTGGTCTGAGCCTCAGGGTCTTCATCTCAAATACCTCCCTCCTCAAGGTGGGGGCGTTCCAGAATCAAAGGCAAGAGCTCAGGGCTCAGTGTGGTCAAATGGTCAGCACTTACGTTCCGGGCTCTGCCAATTCACGTCCCAGTGATGGAGCAGGTGGCTACTGATGGGCAGTGGTGGCCTGGAGAGGCCTGTGAGTGTTTGGGCTCAAAAGGTGGCACAAGCAGTTAGCATCTGTGCCTTAGCAGGAGGGGACGGCAGTTGGCTTGACTTTCCTTTGAAAAGTTCATTCCACAGAACTTTCCTGATGCTCCCTGTGTTCCAGGCGCTGGTGGACGCTGGGGGCTCAGACAGGAGTGAGACAGTCCCTCCTCCAGAAGGAACGTGTAGACAAGCAAACAGCAGTGCACTGTGGGAAAGGGTGGCAGCAAAAGCACACGCGAGATGCAAGAGAAGCAGAGAAGAGAGGGGGCCCTCAGTTCTGCAGGGGGCTGGGGTTAGGGGACGCGTCATGGAGGAGGGGCCTGTGAGCCGGCACTGGAAGGATCAGTGGGAGTTTGTCAGATGAGGACGGCAGGAAGGGAGCAAGGGCGTGCCAGGCAGTGGGACCGGCATGGGCACAGGCCTAGCCGTGAGCAACATCCTGGTGTGATGGGGCATCGTACGGTGGGGCATCGGTGTTGGCATTCATGCTGCCCTGCCCCACAGAGCTCCCTGCCACAGAGGAGCATTCAAGGAGGCCTAGCGCCCTGCCTGCTGTCAGCTCAGGAGGGCGCGTCCAGGGCCAGGCTTCACGGGATAAGGCCACGTGTGCCACCTCTGGTGCCCAGGCAGCGAGGAGCTCCTAAGGCTTTTCTTGATTGGAGTTGGGGGTTGGAGGCACATGTTACCCACAATCTGAAGTGGTCCTGGAGACGTTGTTGCTGCCTTCGTGCTGGGGGCCCGGATAGAGATGAATAAAACTTGGTCCCTGCTCCAAGTACAGAGAGGGAGGTGGACAGGCCCTCAGATGCCCACACTTCATAGCTGTTGGTGCTCTAATGGGGGCATTCCAAGTGCTTTGGGACCATAGAGGAGGGGGCAGCCAGAGGGCAGGAGCAGGGGGGAGGGGGCATCATAAGGAAGGAATCTGAGCCAGATGGTAATAAGAAGAAGAGTTATAATAACTAATGATTATTGAGCACCTGCTACCTGCCAAGCACTGTCCTAAGAGCTTTATATGGATTCGCTCTCCACTTGCACAACAACATGTTATCATCCTCCTTTACAGTTGAGAACTGATGCACAGAGAGGCTGAGTAACTGGCCCAAGCACACACGGCTGGGAAGTGGTTTAGCCGGGTTGAACCTGGGCAGTCTGGCCTGAGTCCACACTTGAATGGCCCAGGGTAGCCTAAGCACTCAGCCCTCTCTCAGAACTAGAGGCACTGACGGGGCTGGGACTGTCTCGCTCTAGCACATAGTAGGCACTCAGTAAAAACATGTTGACTAATAAGAATGCACAAATGCCTGGATGAATTGGGCCCTGAAAGAGTTGTAGCAGAAGATGGGGCTGGGGACAGACACTGCAGACAGAGGGAGCAGTGGTGCAGAGGCCCGAGGTCCGAGCCCCTGGGGTTACCTCAAGGCACTGCCAGGTCCACCTGGAAGGCTGGAGGGACCAGATAAGGGAGAGGTCGAATGACAGCCTCTCTGGCCGACCCTCCCTGTCCCCAAGACCTGGCACCTGCCTGCCTTCTCCTGCCCACCTTCCCCGCCCGCCCTGTCCCACATGGAGACAGGGAGGGCACCCTGCCCTCGTGTCCCACACCACTACTTGTCACCTGGTCCCTCAAAGGCCCCCGGGGGCCAATCTGGCAATAGGACCACAGGCCCCCGAGGCAGGGAAGGCGTGCACCGCCCAAGAGGGTCTACGGATAGTTCAGAGCTTGCTCCCGGAAGGGGTGGCTTTCTGAATGTTCGAGACTTCAGGGAGCGGGTGGTTTTCAAAGACCCTTCCGTTCTTCAAGCTCAGTGGGCTGTGGAGGAAAACTGGAGCTGGGGCTTAGCTCTGTGGCTTCCTTGCTGGGCACCTTTGGGAGAATCCGTTGGCTTCTCTGAACCTCACTTTCCGTCTCCATAAAGTGGGCATAATAGCAATTACAGAATCAAAGGAGCCAAAATTTGGGAGACTCCTGTACAAGGTCAGGCTCTGTGAAAAGTCATTTCTCAGCTTTCTGCCTTGCTTCTGGGGCCTCAGTTTCCTCCGTGAAATGAAAGGGTGGAGAATGTTGATCTTTAATGCCAGCCAATCTGACTTTCTAGGATTCAAAGCTGCCAACACTGATGGACTAGGCATGCAGAGATATTTACACACATATATGCTATATGCCTACAAGTGTATACGATTTCATCATTTCTAAACATTGAAAATGTATATTAAATTATATTTAATATAAATATACAATTGACAGCATCTTTTATTATGTTTTCTTCTGATCGTGAAAGTAATAGATATTTATTGTGAATATTTTGGAAAGTACAGGAAAAGAAAAAAATTCACCCACTGTTCCACATTTGAGACTGAGCTAGCCTCTTAAATATATAGCGAATTCCTCTCCCACCTTTTTTCTGTGCACATACACAGATTTTTTAAAGACATATTTGGAATATACTCTGCATTCTATTTTTTAACTCAAACGGAGCTATTGAAAGAGGTGTCTGGCTGGGGCCGTTGTCCCTGTGCCCGAGAGGAACCAAGGCAGCTGCTGCCACAGCTGTTCTGTGCCCGTGCCCCCACTCCTGCCTGGGCGGCTGGCTGGAGGCATCTGACCTTCGGGTGTTCTTGTGTCTCTGGCGGGTGCACGTTTTACACTAATTTTAGCTTGGCCTCCAGGGCCCGCTGGCCTTGGGGCCCGCACATAATGGACGCCTTATGTAGACAGCTGCCAACCGTGCTGGAAGAAGCGTCCCACCTTAAAATGTTCCCCGCGGCCAGCCAGTCCTCTGCTCTCGGAGAACAAGCCGGCTCCCTGTTCCTTCTCCTACCAGGAAGGGGCCGTTGTTGACATTCACGGCCCAGCAGGCTGGACCCGGCAGGCAGGTGGCCTGCCAAACACGTGGGTGATTGCTTCCCTGGATGGGGCCGTGTTTTTACGGGACAGGTCTGGACTTGAG